TCAGATGCGGATGTCCACAAAGCTCAATACAAAAAAAACAGCATCCTTTGAACAATGACATAACATCTTCCAATCTTCCATACTCGTCGCCCCGACACGTTTCGTTGCCAGCGTACATCGGCAACTCATCAGGGGGCATTTCCAAAGGTTAAGTTCCCAATCCCTGCGAATGTGAGGAGTAGGAGCTCCTCAGTCCTTTTTTATACTCCACAACCACCATCCTACGTACTCACGACACTCATACGATCGGAGAGGCAATGTAGTCCCCTTGTATCCCAATGGCCTATGTCACCGAGAAGAAAAGAAAAGAAGCAGATTATTTCTACCAAAAACGAAATTCCTAATATACTAATCACTGTAATCAGCAAATTCCTACTACCATAAAAACGGCTAAGTTCTGATTCCTACTACCATAAAAACGGCTAAGTTCTGATCTCTATGGTTGTACCTCGGGTGTTCCCGCCTTCTGTGCCCTCTGTATGATACCCAGTTGAACGGTTCAAAGGTGTAGTACCCATCTCTCGTTCGTTCTGTCTGTGAATCAGATACACAGATGGCCTCTCCCCATCATACTTACGTTTCCCCTTCCCCAATCGTATGATAGTGACGCTTACCTCAACCCTGGGATCACTTCGATAGTAAGTTCGTCCCTTGCTAATCCCGATGCCGATTTCGCGGTAGATCTGTCCCGCTTTCCAGAGCATCATCAGTCTCTTCCAAACCTACGTGGTCCGTACCGCCCGGCTACCTTGCCGGTTTTTTTCTCAGAAGCCAAAGATACCCAAGTCCTTGTTCGAGGCAGCGCGTGTCGGTTCATCAGGAAAGTCTGATCAAGGTATATCAGAGCTCGAAGGTACTATCATCAGCAAAACATCATGCGGGGACAAGCTAGTAGCTTGAGAATTCCTACCATACATTAAATAGTGTACATCCTATTTCGAAACAAAGTAGTCTCCCGCCACTGTATAACTGGCATTCGGGCAGAACGCCTCCTCAATGCTACTGAAGGTGCATGGTCCCGGATAAAGGAATAGGAAACGAAAGGGAACCGAAAGGGAAGAAAAAGCGAAGAAAAAAGCGAAGAAAGGGAAAATAGAATAAAAAGAAAAAGAAAAAGAAAAAGAAAAAGAAGAAGAAAAAGAAAAAGAAAAAAGAAAAAGAAAAAGGGAAAGGGACGGGAAAGAGCCAAGAGATGGTACGGTCGAAAAAAAGCCCGAACAGTCAGACATGTCCGCAAACAATCGGAAACTCCAGAAACGAGCCGCAAAAATCATTAACCTTGTGATTCCGGGGTACAGCCTGGAAAGAGTATCTTTCCAGGGACACCCAGAAAGTTTAGCGAGCTAACGCAGCGATCTCTCTCTCTCTCTCTCTCTCTCTCTCTCTCTCTCTCTCTCTCTCTCTCTCTCTC